CCCCAAAACCCCAAAACCCCAAAACCCCAAAACCCCTAGAGTAATCAACCTTGAACCAATTCATGATTTATAAATAAATTCACATTAGAGAGGATAGAACGATTGGATACAAAAGTACATCAGAACTCAATTGATTCATGCTGCTAAAACGCAGCTGAACTCTTCAAATTTTAAGGGGAGTAAAGTGTCTTCTTTTCCTTGTCTGTCAGTCCTTTTGTTTCACGGATGAATATGATGCAATAAATTCCTCCAAAAATGGAGATCCCTGAGAATAGCCAGAACACTCCCTAGGGTCTTAATGCGCTATTCATTAGGAAATTTGTTGTTAAACTCAGTACCAACACAGTACCCCACAGAGTGAAAATGCAAGCCCCCAGTGCAGTATCAACTACAACCTCACTCGTGTAAAGCCATATCACGGGTCCATTAGTAATCTAATAAGTCATGATGAAGGAGATCATCATGACAGCGACCCAGATACTCATGTTTTAATAGGCAAATATACCAATCAGTAAATGGCATGTTGCCATCAGGAAATGCCCAGTAATTAAAAGCAATCTTCTTCCAACTTTTTTCAGCATCCATATTGCTATTCCTAACCCAAATAACTGTGCGACACCTAAGCCATAGGTTCCCAATCTGGGCTTTTATAATCCCATCTATTTGAACATAGTATTCGAGTAAAGTAATATAGCGTTGATGCCTGTAAGTTCATGAAATATAATCAGTATGATAACTAAGATTGTCCCCTTTCTATATTTATCTGAACTCATTGCTTATTTCAATGTGACAAATGATGTGTCCCTTTAAGTATTTATCTCAAAACCAATAATAATCTCTTCAGGATTTTCAGATTTATGGTAGACATTTTTAATCATCTTCTTGGCCTCTTCTCTTCTGTCATTGAATATACAGTACTTTACACTTTCATACTTCACATAAAATTAAACTCCAATAATGCAAACAACATACAACACTAGGGGGAATCCAAAAATTACTCTCCAAAATCCACTTTTCTTAAGAGCTTCAGTATCAGAATCATCTTGGAATCCTTCACCCATTGCCATTGCAATCAAAGAACCTACTCCTTGACAGAGCGTAGCAATCGTTGAATAAACCTAGTATTAATGCTGTGGTACTGTCTCCTCTATAAATCTCGGAATGCAGACTGATTAGACTCCACAAGCAAAGCCAAATAAGGTCCTTCCGATAAGTATTGCAGGAATATTTTCTATCAAGCTTATGCCTGATCCAATTACTCCAATGATGCTAGAGAACTAAAAGGCCCATTTTCGCCCACCTTACATTATTTTTCCGCCTGATATTGCTCCTATAGTCATTCCTAACACTCCGCTAGACCCTATTAAACCCTGATATAAGGCTTGGTTCTCATTAACAAAGTCGAATTTAACATTGAATGTTGTCGTTGTTTAGTTTGTGCAAGAAATAATGTAGCCTATAAGGATTTCCCCAAGATCCATAAACAAACTGAAAATAATCAGAAATGTTAAATTGGTCTTGAATTTCTTTTATTCTCTGATTGAGGTAATTCGTTGCATATATGAGGGATTCTAGTCCCCAAAAATTGTGCTTTAATTATCTGATTTATCTAAATATAGGTTATACATCAGCAGCCTATAGAAAAATTATTCTTACTTAAAGGGTATTAATCCATTCTTCTGCTTTTATTACTTTTTATATGCTTTAGATTCATTTTGATATTCATTTAATGTTAATGCTGTATCAATACATGGGGTTTTGGGGTTTTGGGGTTTTGGGG